CGAAAGATCCTGAGAGTTTAGTTTCCGAATTGTTCTTCGAGAGAAAGTTCCTTAGACTTTTGTTCCCGTTTAGTTCGTTTGCAAAACTTTCCGGCTAATTTTGTTCGTATTTTGTTCTCTTTGTTAACGTTCCAGAGGGTTTTGTTCTTATATACATAATTCCCACTGAGAATATTTTCGACAGTTTTGTTCGCATTTTGGTTTCGGTTTTGAAGCGTTCTTCGGAACAAAACTACGAAAACGATATTTAGTTTCGATCATACCTTTTGTTCTCGGTCCCTGGTTTGAACGATTTTAAGAAAATTGATTGAAATTGAACATTTAAAAGGCAGAATTGTCGAAACTTATCATTCGAAGGTTAGACAGTGGTGGAAACAGGCCTCTTTTATAATTAGGCAAAGAAGATACCTATAAACTCACGACAGTTTCCGTTGGCTTACCCTTCAATACTTTCTGTCATAGATGAAAGGACTGGGGCTTTAAAGAGACAGTCCAACACTTTCTGTACGAGTGCCCAGCCCTCGCAAGGATGCAGCTAAAGACACTTGGCAAAATATTCCTGCAGAATATTTCAGATTGCAGCTGATTATCTCTCTTTATAACATACTGAAATGCCGAATGAGAGTTAGCTCGTCACTTTAAAAAACGGTCCTAAGATTTTAAAATACATACATTAGACTGGTTCAAAAAAATAAAATTTTTTTTCGAATTCATTGTGAAATATTTTCGGGACAGTGAAAATATGCGCCTGTCAAAAGCGCAGCCCCTAATATTAAGATTAAGTGGTACATCATAGCGAATTTCTACTTTCAATTTAAATAACACAGGAAAAATATTGTTTTCATCTTTGCAATTGCGTATCTCGTTTTTAAGTCAACGTATCGGAATCATGGAAGAAAATTGAAGCCTGTAAAAAAGTTTTTTTTTATAATTTGTATACAGCTCTCAAGAAAAGCGAAAAATTCATATAAAATTTTTTCCATACAATTTTCTTGAACCAGTTTACACGTCATGAAAATTTCAAGTTTAGCGAAAAAATATTAGTTTTCCACTTCATAATTTCTTTTTATCAATTCAAGCGACTCTCGATCATTAAAGGCTTTTCCATAAACATCTAGCATCTATTTCTTTGACAAAACACTGTAAATTTGGGTAAAATGTTTTTTTTTTTTACCTTTAAAGAAATCCTGACTTCAAAGTTTCTACTTTTCAACTCCATTATAACGTTTCTTTGGTTCGTTCTGGGTACATGTTTCTTAATAGTCATTCAATAGTTTTCCATAAAATTTACAATTGCACTGTTTTCAGGCGATTTAAAAAATTTGTATATCAACTCCGCTCACTTGTCTTAAGAAAAGGATGTTTGCTTTTGACTTTATTGTTAAAAAAAAAAATTAGTAAACTCGGAGTTTGTTCCAAATCGTGTATCATAAAATCGTTCTAGAATATCGGCTAATATGACTACTGGAAGCTGTGCATCGATTGAGAATTGAAGGTATCACTAAAATGGTACTCACTTCATAAAACTGGAGAAAATTTTCTCAGTAATATAATTTTTACAGAATCCATATCATCTGCTCTGGATTCGTTAAAGACAGTTACTGTCTTCTTTATAAAACACAAAGATCTGGACAAAGCTGACATAAGGACATATATGTATGTAAAATTTGGCATGGCCCGGAAACAGCTCCGATTGGGTGTTTCTGGAGAAATAATTTGCTGGGGAAGGTCCCAAAAAATTAGTTCAAGAAAAAAGTAGTTGCAGAAGCTTGGAGAAATATGCACTGTTTTGTGTATTTAACAATTTTTCCCTAATTATTCTGCACAATATTTGTTAGTAAGACTGCATACATAACTACATACATACATGTGTATAAATTGCTTAAATGTTCGCATTGCATTTTTATGTTGTTCAGTTTTTATTTATTTGTTATCTAATTAAAGTTATATCGCCTTTTGCTGCATTACATCATTGCTATTGCAGGCGGGCGATTGTATTTCATGCCAGTTCAGCGACTCACTCACTGCCTCTGGCAGCAATCTATCCAAATGCAAATTAGTGATTCATTCAAGCGTGAAATTCCAGCAATGATAACATTTTTATACTCTTTACGAAGTAGGTACATACATATATATTCATGCTTGGTCGAATGTAATGCGAGCCTTTAATTTTTATCGAAATGAAATGCATATATTTAGCATGCAAATGTATGTGTGTATGTATGTATGTACATTAGGGTGGTGCAAAAATTCATTCAAAAAGTAAAGTCGGAACTTGTTTGCCCTCACCCCCTATAATTGTTCTATATCAAAAAAATGTTGCCCTATTTTTTATTTTGAAATCAAAAAATATTTAGAGGTCACTCAAAGTGCCCAAAGTTTTCCATGTATTTTATATGGACAAAAACACTTTTCGTAGAAATCGTATAGAATTCTCGAAAATCAATATTTTACGATAGGAAGACTCCTAGGGGTTGAGAGCATTAAAATTCCGAATCTACTTATTTTGGAACACCCTAATATACATACACACATGCCTACGAGC